GTGATTTACGAATTCTTCGAGTGTTCTTCCAACATCCCAAGTGGTTTATCATGCCTCTAAACCATAAAAGCTTGTGGTCTATTGCTTTTATATAATAGTTCAGAAGACAAGCGAAATTTCCATGAGTTTACTGGCACAATAAACCATAGCTGATTGACCAATCAGAGCGCGCGCATTCATTTGATTATTATTTAAAAATGACTAATCATCAGTGTTTTCTTATGATAGGTTGCGAACACCTACGCATTCCTCCCCCGTGAGGCAGTGTCGTATTATCTGATGAGTTGTAGTACCTGCAAACAGAGGATCCAGCGGTTTAATTCAATCCTCCTGAAACATGGCAGACCGCTGTCACCTGTTTCTGACTTGGTAAGCGTGGTTTCCATAGCAACCCAGAGAGTCAAGATTTAGAGTTGTTCCTTACGCTGAGTCAGTTGATTATATTAAGTTCTATGTTGCTCTCATTTTGAATAAAGAGTAACCTTTTTAAATTTGCTCTTTGGCTTGCTGAATTACTACCAAGCTTTGAAAATCAGTTCTTATCTTGTTTGCAGGGTCGGGAATCTCCCTCTTCTGATCTAGTGAGTAGCTTTAGACTAAAATTGATAAATATTAATGTAATATAATGGGCATAGGTAATCCGGTTTCGAGTTCAGTTTTGAATTAATTTCCAAGAGTAAGTTTTTCAAAAAGCTGAAATTGCAAGAGCCGCTTCGGCAAGTGCAATTTTAGCATTTTGGAAAACTCAAAATTGCAAATTAATTCCAAATTGAACGAGAAAAAGCGTATGATTACTTATTAATAATATAAACATGAAAACATTCGCGTGGAGGAGGTGCCGCAAGATCTTTCTTGAAGCCATTTTTTCTCAATCCAGAAAACTTTTTTCAAAGTATCCGCACAAAATTTTCGTCATCATTTTACGTGATATCATTGGCTTAGAAATTTCCTATTGCCTTTCAGCCAATCATGATCCAGATTTAAGATGTGTAATTTGCACTGGTGTAACATTTTCTTGCACTGTTGTTACACTTGAACTGCACTGCTCTCAGCCAATCAGAATCGAGTAATTTTTTCATCTATATTATTAAGCAATGTAATTGCATGATAACAGAACGATGTTTCTTTGTCACATACAATGTCTTGAATTTGATTTAAAATTTCCTTGATAGTGAATTTGTCAAAATCGGTAATTTAACGTACACGTGACAGCTTTTGTTATGTTACAACAAGAGATTATCTCTTGGTTACAATGGTTACAAGCTTGTCGGATTTGGTTTTTGCGGCAGGCGGCGCTACTTTTGCAAACCCACGGTGAATCCAAGATTTATTGATCTGCCAACCAAAAAGTATATTCACTTTTTTCGGGAGGCCATCATGTCGATTTGAATCGTTCATATCACATGCAAACGAACTACATCAACGGGATTTATCAGCGCAGGACCGCGTACAGTTCTTCCACCTTCGTCAATGCTCTTGATGCTCGATAAATGTTTCCTGCTCGTGTGTTCATTTCTTTTTATTTCCGTGTTTCTGTTTAGCGAACACAGAATTCCCTGGAATAATGGCACCAGCGGATTAATTGCGATTTCAGTCGCTAGGGACTTGCTAGCTTCTCTGTAATCAGTAGCAGGGGGCTGTAGCTAGTAACAGCCAAATCGAGGCACTTGCCTCTGTCATTTTTTATTTCGGTTTTGTTGTTTATATATATGATCATCAAAGACACTCTAAATATCAAGGAAGATAATTTTATTATGGACATTTTCTCAGTCACAATTTTTTCGTGGACATTGCCTCGGTCATAATATTTTTCTAACTAAAGCTCTGAGTAGTCAAAATCCCTTTTCAGTGTTAGTAGTCACTCAGCTGTGTTCTATTGGAAATTCGCCAATCTGATTGCTTCTCTCATCGTTTTCTACAGTCGAACCTCCGGTTGCGACCACCTCTCCACAGCGACCACCTTTCCTCAGCGACCAGTTTTTCAAAATTTCCAAGATACCAGAAGTTTCCAAGTCAAATCGTCATTATATTTGGAACCTCTTGTAAGCGACCACCTCTCGTAAGCGACTGCGGCCACTTTTAGAGCTAAAAGTCTGAAATTTTCTTTTGTTTTTTAACCTTCCATAAGCGATCACTTGACAGATAATAGAGCGGAAATTGAAAGTAAGGCGTAACACGATCGCTTTTCTCCGGTAGTACAAGGGAAGGAAATTTCTCAATGGGAAGTACCGGATTTTTTCTCGAAATTGGCTCTTCACATGAATAAAACATTTAAAACATAGGAAAAGTCTCTGCAGTTATCATATGCTAATGAGACAAAATTTTGACCCAATATGATCTAAGCTCTCGTAAGCGACCACCTAGGCTTGCAGTTTGGGTGTTCGCTTACGGAAGCTTCGACTGTATTTAACAAATAGACTACGAGCCAAAATTTTCTATGAGCGAATAGTCAACAAGGCATAACCGAGTCGACTATTCGCTCATAGAAAACGAGGGCGAGGCTAAATAATTATAGATACACAAAAAGTAGGTTTTGTGCGGTGTCTACCAAAACAATAAGTGGACTTCTCGCCCTCGTTTTCTATGAGCTATTCGAGGAGTTTTAGCAATCACGACGGCGACGCCGAGGACGACGCCTTGTAAAAAAAAGTTTTAGATTCAAAACGCGCGTGCAGAACCACTGTTCTGCTCGTTAAACATTTTGTTTGGTGGCGTTCTTGTTACAGCGTCGCCGTCGTGGTTTGCTAAAACTATGCCTTATGGACTATTCCCTCATAGAAAACTCGGGCTCGTAGTCTAATTGCTGAATATTAGTAAAAGTACAATTTTTTGATAAAGAAAAGTGCACCCAGATCAACTGTAGTTCAGTCCGAATTTTCTTCGACGAAAGCACGTCATGAATTGATGTCAGGAAAGTGGCAAACAAACTGGTGAAAAAGTGAATCGTGCAAGGGAGAGCAAATTGTCGTTACTGTTTGAGCGAGGTGTCCACTTTGCGACGGAAAAATTCGAAATTTTTGCCAGACGTTTTCAATTTCAAATAACAACCTCGCGACGGTGCATGTGTAACTCATGATAGAGCCCCTTAGAGTGTCAGTCGTTTAGCCTCCAAGTTAATTAGCCCGGCCCTAGCCGGCTAGCCTCAAACCAGAAGTCGATTAGTCCCCAATCACCCTCGCACTATATTCACGCTTAAAGAACGAGAAATGAACAGTGTTTCCGAGTTCTGGTTGGGAGCTAATCGACTTCTGGTTCAGGGGGCCAGACGGTTAGGGGCTAATCGACTTGGGGGTAACACGACCAGATACCCTTTTATAGATTCATCAAGTTGCACTGACAGAATAATTTCGGAGATACTAGACCATTTTTTTCAGGTTTCCGTCAATGAACAAAAAGTAGTTTTGATTTTGACTTTTCGTGGTGAGTTATACCTTAAAAGCTTTTCCTCAGAATCACAACCATTTTGTGGCCGGAGAAGAGCGTGCTCTGTTTACATTTGTTTAAGGTCTAATTCTACGAAGTTTGAGACAACGTGATGAAACGATGAACTCACAGGCCTTTGGTTTTCAGCCCTTTGAAAATATTTGTTTTAATTTGCGGCACGAATTGCGTCGGCAAGGCTGCTCAGGACTCAATAAACCCGCTGGTATTGGCTTCTTCAGACTATTTCAGCAAAATATGTCTGATATATATTTGCATCGCAAATGGACTTGCTCCATGGAAACTTTGAGTCAAAGTTAAGAATCCAGTGAGCTACTTAAGGACTGCCGGTCTCAGTAATTAATTAATATTAGGTACATAATGTCAGTCAATATTGCAGACGGAGAATAATTTACTCTAATTGATCAGCTGAATCGAACGAAAGATGTACGTAGTTAAGCCGGAATTTTCGCACTGTAAGCTAACTTTGCTCAGTTGAAATATTCAGTCTGATATTAGACTGAAGTGAAAGCAGCTGAAGCAATATAGCTTTTGAAAATTTTAAATGACATATTGAAATAAGAATTTAAATATAATCACATTCAACGGCGGACTCGTGAGTTTTCAGCCATGCGGAAAAAAAAAATTTAAAAAAAACAACAACTCTCGACCCGGCAAGTATTTTGATAGGCGACGATCACCATTTCCGTCGTTTATACTTCCATCTCACATCACATTTTCTCTTTTCCCTGAACACAAATACAGAGCATGTTATGACATACGATTTTATTTCCAAAACAAAAAAATAATAATTGTCTTCCTTGCTGAAAAATGGAATTCCTTAGAAAGGGAGTCCAGAACTTTTCGGATTTTTTTTGTTGTCTGGTAGTCAGCGGTAACCTTTCGGAGCAGGCGCGCGGGCGCCATTCTTCGGTTGTCCCACGTGATCAGCTTACGCTATCAGCTGCTGAGCCTGACAACAAAGGCCAAAAATTTGAGTCTAAATTCTGGCCCATTATTTCCCGGTGCCTCCTGGTTTAGCTTCGGTGATTTTGGCGTTTCACCACACGATTGTGGACGGGTTCCGTCAATACCCGTCAAAGCGATTTCGAGGGAAGAAGAAGTTCAACGATTGTCGAGCTTTCGACGGTACGAGTGACTTAGAAGCGCTTGGGTGCGGCGAAAGTTTAAGGCTTGTTTGTACCCCTCGTCTCTCTGTGGCGTTGTCTAGTCCATTGAAGATGTCGACCAAAGCCCTTGCAGCCATTGCGAAGGTCAAGTCGGAGCATATTCTAAAGGTAACTTAACAGATGAAGTGGTCTATAACATTTGTGTTAAATTGCTCTAGTTTTGTGCAACTCTTGGAGTATTCTGTTGCTGGGATCAAAGCGAAAGAAAATCGACCATCGCCGCGCCGGCTTTGTTGTTCGAAGGTAAAGGGGGAACACAAATGAGCGTCCCTTCGACTTCCTTGAACGGCAAGAGGTTCGAAAGCTTTAAGCTCCAAGCCTTACCGGAATTGTTCGCAGATCAGAAAATGAAAACATGTCTTGTGGTGTTTCATGCATAAGAGGATCGTTTCATCCAGGAAGGGCCAGTAGATTGCGTTTGCGATTTTTCGGCAGATGACACCCCTTGTCCTTTGAATCGGCGAAGAGAAAACAATGAGAGGCCCACGTTCTAATTTGCCGGCCAGATGGCCTCCGCTTTAACGCAGCTTTAATGTAAGCGCTGTGTAAGACTTGTTTAGCTCAGAATTGAGGCTTCTCGCTGGAAATTTACGCCGTTTACAATTTTTTACGCGTGATCCGTAGAAGGAAGCGTTAAAATATATTTGGCCTGTTTTCTCCCTCGAAAGACATGAAATATTCATACCCGAAATATTGCAAAAGTGAGGTAATTAGCCAAGTGCTGTCTTATCTTGGTGTTGCATGTGGCCTTGCTATCCTATTTTGAAAAGATCTCTCCAATTTTCCTCATCTTCTCTCGCGATTCGTGATCTGTAGGGTTTTCAGTTAGATCACGTAAGCGAGGAAGTTGTTGTCACATCAGATTTTTCAGCATGTTCATTGTTTGGAGAAGGAGCGTAGCGGCTCCCAGACACTTCGAATAAACAGTAGATTTTAATGTCGAAGGAGGCAGATGGTTCTTTCTTGTTTGTGTGGTAGCGGGACGATTTTGCGGATGCGTTTGGTTGCGGAAGCTGCGCTTGCAGCCCGGAGTATTGCGTGTTCAAGAATTTGGGTGTGAAAGGGTGCAACGGTTTAGATTGGAGGTTCTCGATCGGGCAAATCCAGAGCGTGCTATTGAAGATTCTATATCCCATGTTGTCCTAGCGTATGACTGGCCTTCTTTGTCTAATTAAAGTAAATGATTTCATTGGATCACTGATTACACTAGACGTTTCATTTCAGAAGCAGGATTATGAGAAATCCACTTTTGGGTTGGAGAGGCCCAGAGGCCCAAGAGAGAGGGAGAGAAAATTCATAGAATTCCTTTGATTGAAAAGCTTTTTCCATGGTGTTTTAGCTTTGAATATTGCATCGGAAATGCAGAAAAATTTGTGGTAAAAATTATTTTGTTTATTTGCACTTGGAAGCTATAAATGGCTGCCCAAATTGAAAGAAACAGAATTTTATGAACCTACATGTACAACAGGAAAAACTTAGCAAAACATGAAGTTAAGGTCGAATGCTTTATCATAGTTTTTATTATCATATTTTTTAGAAGCAGCTTTAACCATGTTTATAAATTACATGAATGCTATAGAAGATCAGCTATAAATTTAGGATTGATAATAAAATGTATAGAATCTGATACCCCAGAACAAATTTGATCCAAAATTCATTTAACTGAAGTTGAAACTAAGGTCGTCCTTGTATGTGCTGAAGCAGAATTCCATGCCCTGGTCATATTCTCAAAACCGTTTTGGTAATTGTTTTGGAAATTATAGCACCATCTACTATGTAAACATACACCTTGTACTGGCTGGTTTTAGACACGTTATATAAATATACATCCCAGACAATCAGGATGCACCCTTTCCAGACCTACGAGAACATCACCAGGCTGATATTTCTGATTGTCTGGGATGGGTGGAGACTAAGGAGAAAAAATGCAGTGTTTACATTTTCACTGCATGTCCCAGATTTTTTGCCACGATTGCCCATCATTATAAACTTGTAAATCACAAGACATGACTTCCCAGGTAGCCTGATTCAAAACCACCAGTGCTTGGTGGTTTGAATATACTCCAAAAAAGCTTACAAATCAAAATAATATCCTTCATAATGCAGCGATTGCAACATTAACAACATTAACACTGCCTCCAGTGTCAGAAGTATTTGTGAATGTGGGAAATTTTGTGAAGCAAACTTTTGTCAACAAGGTGGTGTGTATTTTTCTAATCAGGAATCAGATGTAGAAGCATCATTCTCCAGCCACGACTCAGATGAAGAAGGTGCTACATATGGGGTGAAGAGATTTAAAAGGGACATCGCAGAGGACGTGTTTGAAGAGAATGGTAACAGAAATGGCATGGGCTCACCAGTAGTGGAACATGAACTTATGGATACAGCACTGAATGGAGGTCATGGCAATGATTTACCTAGAGATGGTTAGTTCTTTTCATTACCAGAATCAATTTAATCTAAATGACCCAAATTAGCATTTAAATTTTCATTATCAGAAAATACCTAAAACTATTGTAAAGGTCAGCACTCACTAGGGGACATGTACGGGCATGTGAAGCGGGGACAAGCTGCTTTGTGTGTACACATACAGGATGCAGGTTTCAGGGACAGTACGCAGACTGAGGCATAGAATGTGTTGTAGTTTAGACAGTTTACAAGAGTGGTGCACATGTCTTTTTGTCCCTGCTTTATGATCAGGATTCGTACGGATCCTGGAAAACCTGGAAAGTCCTGGAATTTTGTTGTGGTGTTTTCCAGGACTGGAAAGTCCTGGAAAAAGGCTACTGGTCTTGGAAAGTTCTGGAAATCTGTTTAACTCAAGTAAAAGATATGAAATGTATGACAGACAGTAAGGAGAATTAACGTTGAGATCTTGGGAGTGAAAGGGTTAATGTGAATTTTAGAGATCCTGGAAAAATCAATCTGAGTTCTGGAAANAGGGAAGGAAATTTCTCAATGGGAAGTACCGGATTTTTTCTCGAAATTGGCTCTTCACATGAATAAAACATTTAAAACATAGGAAAAGTCTCTGCAGTTATCATATGCTAATGAGACAAAATTTTGACCCAATATGATCTAAGCTCTCGTAAGCGACCACCTAGGCTTGCAGTTTGGGTGTTCGCTTACGGAAGCTTCGACTGTATTTAACAAATAGACTACGAGCCAAAATTTTCTATGAGCGAATAGTCAACAAGGCATAACCGAGTCGACTATTCGCTCATAGAAAACGAGGGCGAGGCTAAATAATTATAGATACACAAAAAGTAGGTTTTGTGCGGTGTCTACCAAAACAATAAGTGGACTTCTCGCCCTCGTTTTCTATGAGCTATTCGAGGAGTTTTAGCAATCACGACGGCGACGCCGAGGACGACGCCTTGTAAAAAAAAGTTTTAGATTCAAAACGCGCGTGCAGAACCACTGTTCTGCTCGTTAAACATTTTGTTTGGTGGCGTTCTTGTTACAGCGTCGCCGTCGTGGTTTGCTAAAACTATGCCTTATGGACTATTCCCTCATAGAAAACTCGGGCTCGTAGTCTAATTGCTGAATATTAGTAAAAGTACAATTTTTTGATAAAGAAAAGTGCACCCAGATCAACTGTAGTTCAGTCCGAATTTTCTTCGACGAAAGCACGTCATGAATTGATGTCAGGAAAGTGGCAAACAAACTGGTGAAAAAGTGAATCGTGCAAGGGAGAGCAAATTGTCGTTACTGTTTGAGCGAGGTGTCCACTTTGCGACGGAAAAATTCGAAATTTTTGCCAGACGTTTTCAATTTCAAATAACAACCTCGCGACGGTGCATGTGTAACTCATGATAGAGCCCCTTAGAGTGTCAGTCGTTTAGCCTCCAAGTTAATTAGCCCGGCCCTAGCCGGCTAGCCTCAAACCAGAAGTCGATTAGTCCCCAATCACCCTCGCACTATATTCACGCTTAAAGAACGAGAAATGAACAGTGTTTCCGAGTTCTGGTTGGGAGCTAATCGACTTCTGGTTCAGGGGGCCAGACGGTTAGGGGCTAATCGACTTGGGGGTAACACGACCAGATACCCTTTTATAGATTCATCAAGTTGCACTGACAGAATAATTTCGGAGATACTAGACCATTTTTTTCAGGTTTCCGTCAATGAACAAAAAGTAGTTTTGATTTTGACTTTTCGTGGTGAGTTATACCTTAAAAGCTTTTCCTCAGAATCACAACCATTTTGTGGCCGGAGAAGAGCGTGCTCTGTTTACATTTGTTTAAGGTCTAATTCTACGAAGTTTGAGACAACGTGATGAAACGATGAACTCACAGGCCTTTGGTTTTCAGCCCTTTGAAAATATTTGTTTTAATTTGCGGCACGAATTGCGTCGGCAAGGCTGCTCAGGACTCAATAAACCCGCTGGTATTGGCTTCTTCAGACTATTTCAGCAAAATATGTCTGATATATATTTGCATCGCAAATGGACTTGCTCCATGGAAACTTTGAGTCAAAGTTAAGAATCCAGTGAGCTACTTAAGGACTGCCGGTCTCAGTAATTAATTAATATTAGGTACATAATGTCAGTCAATATTGCAGACGGAGAATAATTTACTCTAATTGATCAGCTGAATCGAACGAAAGATGTACGTAGTTAAGCCGGAATTTTCGCACTGTAAGCTAACTTTGCTCAGTTGAAATATTCAGTCTGATATTAGACTGAAGTGAAAGCAGCTGAAGCAATATAGCTTTTGAAAATTTTAAATGACATATTGAAATAAGAATTTAAATATAATCACATTCAACGGCGGACTCGTGAGTTTTCAGCCATGCGGAAAAAAAAAATTTAAAAAAAACAACAACTCTCGACCCGGCAAGTATTTTGATAGGCGACGATCACCATTTCCGTCGTTTATACTTCCATCTCACATCACATTTTCTCTTTTCCCTGAACACAAATACAGAGCATGTTATGACATACGATTTTATTTCCAAAACAAAAAAATAATAATTGTCTTCCTTGCTGAAAAATGGAATTCCTTAGAAAGGGAGTCCAGAACTTTTCGGATTTTTTTTGTTGTCTGGTAGTCAGCGGTAACCTTTCGGAGCAGGCGCGCGGGCGCCATTCTTCGGTTGTCCCACGTGATCAGCTTACGCTATCAGCTGCTGAGCCTGACAACAAAGGCCAAAAATTTGAGTCTAAATTCTGGCCCATTATTTCCCGGTGCCTCCTGGTTTAGCTTCGGTGATTTTGGCGTTTCACCACACGATTGTGGACGGGTTCCGTCAATACCCGTCAAAGCGATTTCGAGGGAAGAAGAAGTTCAACGATTGTCGAGCTTTCGACGGTACGAGTGACTTAGAAGCGCTTGGGTGCGGCGAAAGTTTAAGGCTTGTTTGTACCCCTCGTCTCTCTGTGGCGTTGTCTAGTCCATTGAAGATGTCGACCAAAGCCCTTGCAGCCATTGCGAAGGTCAAGTCGGAGCATATTCTAAAGGTAACTTAACAGATGAAGTGGTCTATAACATTTGTGTTAAATTGCTCTAGTTTTGTGCAACTCTTGGAGTATTCTGTTGCTGGGATCAAAGCGAAAGAAAATCGACCATCGCCGCGCCGGCTTTGTTGTTCGAAGGTAAAGGGGGAACACAAATGAGCGTCCCTTCGACTTCCTTGAACGGCAAGAGGTTCGAAAGCTTTAAGCTCCAAGCCTTACCGGAATTGTTCGCAGATCAGAAAATGAAAACATGTCTTGTGGTGTTTCATGCATAAGAGGATCGTTTCATCCAGGAAGGGCCAGTAGATTGCGTTTGCGATTTTTCGGCAGATGACACCCCTTGTCCTTTGAATCGGCGAAGAGAAAACAATGAGAGGCCCACGTTCTAATTTGCCGGCCAGATGGCCTCCGCTTTAACGCAGCTTTAATGTAAGCGCTGTGTAAGACTTGTTTAGCTCAGAATTGAGGCTTCTCGCTGGAAATTTACGCCGTTTACAATTTTTTACGCGTGATCCGTAGAAGGAAGCGTTAAAATATATTTGGCCTGTTTTCTCCCTCGAAAGACATGAAATATTCATACCCGAAATATTGCAAAAGTGAGGTAATTAGCCAAGTGCTGTCTTATCTTGGTGTTGCATGTGGCCTTGCTATCCTATTTTGAAAAGATCTCTCCAATTTTCCTCATCTTCTCTCGCGATTCGTGATCTGTAGGGTTTTCAGTTAGATCACGTAAGCGAGGAAGTTGTTGTCACATCAGATTTTTCAGCATGTTCATTGTTTGGAGAAGGAGCGTAGCGGCTCCCAGACACTTCGAATAAACAGTAGATTTTAATGTCGAAGGAGGCAGATGGTTCTTTCTTGTTTGTGTGGTAGCGGGACGATTTTGCGGATGCGTTTGGTTGCGGAAGCTGCGCTTGCAGCCCGGAGTATTGCGTGTTCAAGAATTTGGGTGTGAAAGGGTGCAACGGTTTAGATTGGAGGTTCTCGATCGGGCAAATCCAGAGCGTGCTATTGAAGATTCTATATCCCATGTTGTCCTAGCGTATGACTGGCCTTCTTTGTCTAATTAAAGTAAATGATTTCATTGGATCACTGATTACACTAGACGTTTCATTTCAGAAGCAGGATTATGAGAAATCCACTTTTGGGTTGGAGAGGCCCAGAGGCCCAAGAGAGAGGGAGAGAAAATTCATAGAATTCCTTTGATTGAAAAGCTTTTTCCATGGTGTTTTAGCTTTGAATATTGCATCGGAAATGCAGAAAAATTTGTGGTAAAAATTATTTTGTTTATTTGCACTTGGAAGCTATAAATGGCTGCCCAAATTGAAAGAAACAGAATTTTATGAACCTACATGTACAACAGGAAAAACTTAGCAAAACATGAAGTTAAGGTCGAATGCTTTATCATAGTTTTTATTATCATATTTTTTAGAAGCAGCTTTAACCATGTTTATAAATTACATGAATGCTATAGAAGATCAGCTATAAATTTAGGATTGATAATAAAATGTATAGAATCTGATACCCCAGAACAAATTTGATCCAAAATTCATTTAACTGAAGTTGAAACTAAGGTCGTCCTTGTATGTGCTGAAGCAGAATTCCATGCCCTGGTCATATTCTCAAAACCGTTTTGGTAATTGTTTTGGAAATTATAGCACCATCTACTATGTAAACATACACCTTGTACTGGCTGGTTTTAGACACGTTATATAAATATACATCCCAGACAATCAGGATGCACCCTTTCCAGACCTACGAGAACATCACCAGGCTGATATTTCTGATTGTCTGGGATGGGTGGAGACTAAGGAGAAAAAATGCAGTGTTTACATTTTCACTGCATGTCCCAGATTTTTTGCCACGATTGCCCATCATTATAAACTTGTAAATCACAAGACATGACTTCCCAGGTAGCCTGATTCAAAACCACCAGTGCTTGGTGGTTTGAATATACTCCAAAAAAGCTTACAAATCAAAATAATATCCTTCATAATGCAGCGATTGCAACATTAACAACATTAACACTGCCTCCAGTGTCAGAAGTATTTGTGAATGTGGGAAATTTTGTGAAGCAAACTTTTGTCAACAAGGTGGTGTGTATTTTTCTAATCAGGAATCAGATGTAGAAGCATCATTCTCCAGCCACGACTCAGATGAAGAAGGTGCTACATATGGGGTGAAGAGATTTAAAAGGGACATCGCAGAGGACGTGTTTGAAGAGAATGGTAACAGAAATGGCATGGGCTCACCAGTAGTGGAACATGAACTTATGGATACAGCACTGAATGGAGGTCATGGCAATGATTTACCTAGAGATGGTTAGTTCTTTTCATTACCAGAATCAATTTAATCTAAATGACCCAAATTAGCATTTAAATTTTCATTATCAGAAAATACCTAAAACTATTGTAAAGGTCAGCACTCACTAGGGGACATGTACGGGCATGTGAAGCGGGGACAAGCTGCTTTGTGTGTACACATACAGGATGCAGGTTTCAGGGACAGTACGCAGACTGAGGCATAGAATGTGTTGTAGTTTAGACAGTTTACAAGAGTGGTGCACATGTCTTTTTGTCCCTGCTTTATGATCAGGATTCGTACGGATCCTGGAAAACCTGGAAAGTCCTGGAATTTTGTTGTGGTGTTTTCCAGGACTGGAAAGTCCTGGAAAAAGGCTACTGGTCTTGGAAAGTTCTGGAAATCTGTTTAACTCAAGTAAAAGATATGAAATGTATGACAGACAGTAAGGAGAATTAACGTTGAGATCTTGGGAGTGAAAGGGTTAATGTGAATTTTAGAGATCCTGGAAAAATCAATCTGAGTTCTGGAAAGTCCTGGAAAAGTCCTGGAAATTTGTTTCTGAAAAAGGGTACGAGCCCTGTATGATGCATGAATTCAAACCAGCTGAATTTCATGTTAAAATGGGCATATCACATAAGAAAAACTGGCTTCAACATGTCCCTACTAGGTATCCCCTCAACGTGTCCCCTAGCGTGTGCTGAGCTGTAGGGAGGGGAGAGGATAGAAAAGGTGATCAGCTTGGATATACTAGCCAACATGTTCAGGGCTATTCTACTTTTATTTATCACAAGATTTGACTATTAAGAGTTCCAATATTGTTGGTGAGGACCATACTTGGAGATGTAGGTCTTGGGGCTTGATAGTATGTACCATTTATTTTTTAATTATTGAGTTCTGTACAAAAAAAAAAAATACTGAGGGGTGATATTCTCTCAGAATGGCCCAAGCATTTTCAACAGTTAATGAGATGTACACAGTGCTGTTATTAACTGTAGCCTTGATCTTCCCATCCGTAACAAATTTGTTACTTTATGGGTGAATTGTATCAACTACAGGCAAGTTCACCCGTAACAACAAGGGCCTATCAAGCATGCTCAGTCATTACAGTTTCTAGGGTGTACAGCCCTTATTGACAGCCCTGGTACATAGAGCAATAAGTCGTAATGTACAATCAGGGATCAGGTTTCTTATTTTGTCTTCATCTGTTTGTGTGTCAACAGCTGCTATTTGTCAAAGTGATGAAAACTTGGCTGCAAAAGGACTATTACCAGGCTATCAGACTTATTCTACAGACCAAAAGCAAGAGGTTGTCAATTACGCTAAGGAAACTACAGTACGTGAAGCCTCTCGCAAGTACAATGTACCTCGCTCAACTGTCCAAGTCTGGTGCAAACATGGTCCTCCTACAAAAAAGGAGAAACGTTCCCCTGGAGGGGGTGGACGTCGCTTAAGCTACTCTAATGAAACTGATGAGAAACTTTTGCAGTGGGTGCTCAGGCAGCAAGAGAAAGGGACGCCTGTCACCAGAGATGCAATCCAGGCCCAAGCCAGATTGCTTGTTCGTGATGAATGTCCTGAATTTAAAGCTTCCAGTGGATGGGTAGAGAAGTTTCTTGCCCGGCATAGTTTGACGATTGCAACTAAAATGTCGTCACAGAATCCAAGTGGTAGGTGAAGCTCCTTCAATCTGTGATGATAGTTGGGTAGCTGACAAATTGTTTTTTGACAGATTAAACTCATCACACAGGGCTCAAAGTTTATTTTTGGCTTTGGGAGCATTTGTACAACCAGGTGTAAATTTTTAGGTGCACTGCCAAAATTTTAGGCGAAGAGTTAAAAATTTTAGGCGCACAGCTCCAGATACTTGGAGCACCTACTTGAAAAGAATACTTACATGAGTAACACTCCAAAAAGAGCAACTCAGGCTTCGTGTTGCAATATGGACCTATTCTAGCAGTATTGAACACAACCAAAACAAATAAAAGAATCAGGATATCTCACACAAGGGTTATGCTTAGATATTAACTACTGACATCGCTCTGTTGAGTATCCTCACTATCCAGTTGCTTGTTGTTAGCCTCCCTTTGAAATTCTGTTCACGAAGATTCTTGATTTATTCAGCATCTGGGTATTCGTGAGAACTAGCACAAACTTTGCTCATTTGGCTATCTTTCAAGCCATAGAATTCGTGGACCGACCTGTTCTGAAAACGCTGGACATTTTTGTATGTCTGACAAGCGAAAGCAAAGCTTTCTTTACAAAACACGGCATTCTGTATTTGTTGTTCGTGAAGAACAAGCACACGATTTAATTTTTCTTTCCCAGTTTCCACGCTTTCCACTAGATCATTGATTGTGCAGGAAGCATGTGCTTCATTCCTTCATCTGCATGTGTCAGCAGAGTTGTTTACAACACAGAACATGGGGAAGAAATGAATGTTCAAGTTCGGAGAATCCACTGGGAAATTAGGCTTAAAGATGACGAATAGAACACAGTGATGGAAGGAAAATGGTGCAACTTTATTATTTGGTGCCTGGTTGTGTTATATCTATGTTTATATTTATATTTATCAATCTGAGTACGTTAGTATGGTCAGGTGAGTAAGCACTAGAGAAGTCGCACTGTACTTTGGCTTTTAGGGCGCGGTGGTGCGACCACACATGATTTTTTAGGTGCACAGCCAAAAATCTAGTTGCATATGTGACCAGTTGGTCGTTAACTTTGAGCCCTGTCACAAATAGATGAGCTTGAGAACTGGTGCCTGAAAGGTTAGTGGGGAGGAGAAGCCATAAGCCAAAGGGGAGGTATCCATGGCAACCCTGGAAGCGGGAACCACCCCCAAAAGTGGCCGCTAATTGGCACTGTCACACTGAATGAATCAATGGCCAAACAACTTACCTGATTCATACTTACCTAAAGGCCAGCAACCAAGAGGGAGGGAGGGGAAGGGGCGAGAATCCGCAAAGATTCACTAAAACACAGAGCAAATGATCCGCAATGATCAGCTAGCAGCACTGCACGTGTAAAGCAATGAGACACAATAGCCCTGCAAGTCTCCAGAGGACCGCCCCGCAGGTCACGTACTGTGACAGGAGAAACCGCTGACTGCATTGGTTTGAGTCTAACTTTGCCTAGATCGTATTCAGCCACATTAAAAAATTTTGGTTTGCTTCAGTATTATGCAGTGTGTTCATTTTTCCTTCAGCTACACCACAAAAATACTGCTTGTAATGCTTGGCTGGTTGCTATTATACATGCTTGTTAAGGAAGCATCAATGGCAAAGTTTGACTGTTTTCAGTTTTGAGGGTGGTGGCATACCTTGATCCCTAGAGGTTTTATTTCTTTTCATTTAACAACATAGAATTATTTTAAGTAGCCTACCTCCAGCTTGCTGCCTTGATTCCTTTTGCTTGGCTACTTGTCTGACTGTAAAAAAAGGTGGCAGAAACAGCTTTCTACTCAGACAAACAATGTGGCAGCCACTTCATAACATCGTGACAAACTTGACAAAAGAAATGTCTTTCCAATGTCAAATTGTTTGTGCACTTTGGTAGTGTGACACATTGTCTGCAAATATATCAACACAGCTGCCAAATGAATTTATGAATACTTGATCAGCATGATGACCCCAAAATTTGGAATGCACTCCTGTTGTGTGAAGTTGTAATGGACTTTTTTCTTTCATTTTTGTAAGGTTAGAATAAGCTTTATTATTAGCCATTTCTCTCTTAAAAATTTCTTGTGAGTTATCTAAGAGAATGTTGATCTTGCAGAGGCCATCCCAATTTCATATGTGGTCCCAGTTGCATCCATTCCAATCGGAAGCTCAGGGGTATTAAACCACAATGCAAACAGTCCTCGAGCAGCTGATGGACGCAGTGTGACAAGTGAAGACACTCGTAGTGACAGTGGAAAAAGCGAGGAGGATGGTGAGCTTTATGATGCTACCTCACCTGCTCAACTGGAGAACACAGTCCCTGCTGTTATTAGGGTGAGAAAGCTTTGCACTAAATACATTGTTGCTTTTACTGTCCTCTTTGTTGAAGAGTAATGGTTTGAATAGAAGCAAGCAAGTTTAAGTACTTTAAATATGGTAGTGGGTACAAAGATTATTTAATTCTTTTTTGCCTGGCCTGGCTCATGAAAGAGCCCTACTCAGTCAACCACTTGTCCAATATGGCCAAGAGGTGAGCTATCATGATTAAGTCAGTCTTTTTTTTTTTTCTGCGGTGGGATATACACAATGTGCCTCCAAGTTCCAGAAAATACCTACACTCCCCTCTGCCAACAGAAGGGATTAGAATTTCTTAGGGGTGGGGGATCTNCTCCATACGCAGTCAAGATGAACTGAATCCAGCGTTGTGATTGGCGTTATCTTGCCCGCTCAGGATTACCCGCTGTGTTTGAAAAGAAAATAGTGTTGACTTCTGTTTAAGTAAATTTGTTATTGACTAAGCTTGTTCAGTCAAGATGGCTGGATATTGGCCTCATATTTTTTTTCCTTTTTTGTTTTTGTTTTTTTTTGGCTCTTTTATGGATCTTGACTCTGTCTCAGTCAACCTTTTTAAACATGGAAATATAGAACTTGGCCAATATCTAGCCATCTTGACCAAACAAGCTTGGTCAATAACCCACACATGTATGTATATATTTTATGATGCTTGGAAATGTTTATCAATAATTCACTATGTCTTTGATTAACCTAAACCTGACATAGGTAATTTTTTATGGGCTATTGTGTTGATCAAAATGTGTTGTAAAAACAGGTTGTCATCTCTGTCCCTAACAAGAAGCTTTTGTCATCTGCAATCTTATCCCTTAAACCCCTTGAGCGCCCAGAATGTGAAAAAACACCTCGGGCTCCTACTAGATTCATCGTGCACAAAACATTTATTTATCCACCTGTAACGTACATGTAGCAGAGCATTTCTTTAGAAAAATATCCTTATTCCAATTTGCCTTGTCTTTCAGATGTTTGTAAGATTGTTTGTGGACGAAAACCTTGACAGGCTGGTTCCAATCTCTAAACAACCCAAAGAGAAAATCTTAGCCATAATTCAGTCGTGTAACAGACAATTTCCAGAGTTCAGAGACAGAGCAAGGAAACGAATAAGAACATACCTGAAGTCATGTCGACGGCTAAAGAAACTAAAGGAGCCTCTTAAACGTGCAGCAGATCAAATGGTGAGTGAACACTTTAGAATTATAGTTGTTGTTGTTTTCTGACCCGTAGAAAATTCTCTGAGCCAATTTGCTTTTACAAGTGAATAATGCAAAAGATCATGATCATTTATTTCCATTATTGACTTTTTATATTGCAGGGATGGGGTGGGTTCCTTTTTGGTGTGGACTCTCAAATGAGAGGGCGGGGAGGGAACAATTTTATGGTATGGGCACTTTAAGACCTGCCACCTGTTTCAGCTCTAGCAGGTATTCTGTTATAAATCGCCAGCTATATTGTAAGCAGTTGGCTTTGATGGGTGCTTTACCTGAGCAGCCACCACAGCTAGGGTCAGTTAGGATGGTACAACTTGGTGGAATGGAAAAATCCCATACAGCTTTATCATGTAACATTGTCTGACTCAAAAGATGTGTTAAAGTGTGTTTCAAAATCTTATAAATTTTTCCTTATTGTGTGCAAAAGCTGCAAGCAAGTTGTACATTTCATGTCAGGAATAGAGTATAGCTTGTGACATACATGTATGACAAAGCTGTGCCATTTAAATTGGCCCTAAGACGTTTAAGAGTTTTGCTGTTCTTGGACTTGTTATTAGAACTGCCCGACTTTGTATTGTACAATTCCAGAGAATATCCATACTCCTCCCACAGAGGGGGCTGGAATTTCCTGGGGGGTGGGGTTCTGTAAGACCAAAGAATTTCAAGAAATGTATGAAGCTTAATTGGAATTTCCAGAGGGGTGGGGGTCTTAGAAACAACATCCCTTCCATGGGGAGGTAGGGATATTTTCTGGAACTGCACATTAATATTATCTTCAGTAACTAAAAAAAATTCAATGCTGATCATTCTGGGGTTTTGGGTCATTGTACATCAAGTACTTTTATCTGGTTGTTCCTGTAGAGCTCCAATCCCAACATGTCAGCAGCTCAGATGGCTGAAGTGAATGTAAGTTTACCTCATTGTCATTTGTGTGTTGTATGTGTTTCCTTTGATATGGTATCATTTCTTTTTAATTCTGGGCGAACTCGGGTGGATTTCTTGTTAGACCAGTCATTTCTACTGTTGATTACCAGTATCCATGAACTGACATCTGAGGGTGAGGTGGAGTCGTATATCAGGTTTTAAAGGGCAGGATGTTTTTCTGCAATGCGAAATCATGATATATGCATGAAAGACTTTGTACAGGTAACTGGATCCTGTTATCTGCAGTAATGATTTTGAAATAAACTATTTACATTCATTACAAATGATTTCACATTGTCCATAATGCAAAGTACAGTGTTATTAGATATTACATACTATTAACTGCACTACTCTGAAAATGTCTATTAGGTTGTTATGGTCATAGAGGTTTTAACTGGTTGTATGTACATGTAGATATATTATTAGAGCCTTGTATACAGCTGCTACAAAATAACACTGTGATGCACTTCCTGTTCTGAAATGAAATTAATTTGTTTTTCATTATTCTCCTTGCAGAACATATTAGCATCAGCTTGTGCTAATGAAGCAGAGAATGCACGACATGTCGGAGCTGACAGTGAGATTTCAGGAAGTACAGGTGCTCTGCCTTCTGCTACATCATCCCCGGCATCATCTCATGTGCCGCAGAATAACACCAACACAAGAAGTATCGACAGGCCAACTGGTGAGTGGTGCCAATATGTCTTCTTGCATAGTTGTTTTTACATGTAGTTCAGACAAATGGAATAGAAAATGGCTTAATTTTTCAAATTAACATGCGTAGGAAAGTTAAGAGAGAGTGCTTTCCATTCAACCAAAAATGCAGGTTTGTGAAGTTTCAGTACCAAATGGAATGTTACATTTTGGGTGGTCACCCTAGATTTTTAGCACAACAGGGAGCAATACTTGAAAGGTCACAGTTTGTTTCAAGAGTTTTAGTTTCATTCAAATGAGTTCTTCCAGATTTTTCTTTGTTCAGTGCTTTTCTGTGTAAAACCCAAATGAAAAAGAATGCCTCCCCAGGCTTCTGTAATTATATATATATACTGTATATATAACTCGCACAATGGAGAATGGGCTTCTGTTTTCAACGCTTTATTCAAGACCCAATGCATTTCGGCATTTGCCTTCCTCAGGGGTCTTCACATACAATTGTTACAGAGTAAATATATAGAGGATATTACACGGTGGCGAGAAGATATGAATTTTATGTTCTCGTGGCAAGAACAATATCTCAC